AAGCAACTAAAAATAATACTTTATATATATATATATATATATATATATATATATATATATATATATTTATTTATTTATTTATTTATAACGCATATATATTAATACTAGTACGTACTGTCTATATATAGGTAGGCTATATATTATTTATTATATATATTATATATTATATATCATATATTATATATTATATATAAAAAGAATTAATTATTAGATAATATTAAATAACTAATGCAAAAATATTATAAAGATGTACCTAAAATACGAGGATAAAATATGCCTATCAGTACTGTAGATTCATAATTTATGTAATGTAAATTTATAATTTCTAAACTATATACTTATAAATTATGAACATATAGTTCTCTGATTTGAAAATAGAGTTCAACAATTAGAATTTAAAGTATAAATTTTATAAATTTACAATATAAAAATTATGAATTTATAGTATAAAAATTATGGATATATAACCATGTCCTGCAAGACGCGCACGTGCTCATATCATAATTTGCCCTCATGACTCAAGGCGGGTTGAATTGAGTTGAATTTTTCTTGGCCCGTCAAAATGGCTAACTTTGGCCCGAACCAGCCCGACTCACCAATTAATTCTGACAATTTTAGACTCATTGTTAATTTCAAATTTCAACCATACATTAATTATTTTTAGGCACTGATTACAAGGATAATAAATTAAACAAACAAAATGTAGGTAGGGAAAATGACAGTTTTTCCCCCTGAGTTATATACTTATAACACTTTTTTTTCTTGAATTATTCATGTAAGCATATTAGCCCATCAGTTATTTTAAAAGTGACGATTTTCTCCCCTGATATATTAAATTGACATTTCTACCCTCAAAATAAATATTTTATTTATTTTTCTTCTCCAACAAATTATTGCGTATACATAGGGATGACCACGGTTCGATTCGAATTGAACCGGACACTATATCAATCGAATTAAAAGTTTCTGATTATGATTCAGATCCGGAACCCAATATTTGAATTTCAGTTTATTAAAATTATGAATCGAAAAAACTATATCCTGAATCGTGAACCGGCGGTTCTGGATCCGGTTCGCGATTTTGAATCGTCTTTATTTTTTATTTTAAAATAGTCTAAATTTAACAATAAATGTTTTTTTTTTCAGTTCGAAACATGAACCGGCCGTCCCGGTTCACGATTTTAATGAACTCTAAATATCGGGTTTCGATTCTAAATTGTAATTAGAATATTTCGGTTTGGTTTGGTTGCTATAGTGTCTGTTTGGTTTGAACCAAATTGTGGTCATAATTTATTGGAGAAGAAAAATAAATGAAATATTTATTTTTAGGGTAAATATGTTCATTTAACATTTTAGGGGGAAAAACAACCACTTGAATAATTCACGGGGGAAAAATAACCACTTGAATAATTCAGGGGAGAAAAGTGCTATAAGTATATAACCTAGGGGAAAACATGTCATTTTCCATATAGGTAACATATCTATCTAATCTAATCTAACTCTATAATGCAACGCGATTTAAGTTTTGATTTGCTACGCTATTTAATTCTCTAATTTAATGCGATTGTAATTACCGAGCTATAAAGATGGCAACTATGCGTTATTCGAAAACTCTTGGAGAACAAGTTCTGAATGCTATACGCAAATAGCATTATATATTACAAATTCAAACTGATCTAAATAAAATTTAAAATAAAGGCTTTTAAATTGAAACAACATAATCATTAATAACATTATTCCAATAAGGACTCTTCGTTTCTCTAGGTCGAGTCCTATTCGAATTCCTATTATATTAAGAGATAGATTGAGATCAACTATTTAACTCCAACTTCTGAATCGTATAGGCAATACTCTGCAAGAAAAAAATAAAAAAAGTCTTCTCTATGTACCAGTTAAGGCTATTAGTCCACTGCACACCAAACGACCTATGAAGTACCAGAACTGGGTGGATGAAGAGATTCTGATGATGTGAATGACTAGAGCTTTTCGCTAAGAAAATCTGCAAATATCTTCTTAGAATAGAACTTTAAATGGTTTTTGACAATTATTTTTTCTATTACTAAAGATGAGATAATGGGAAGGGTTTTCTATTGCTACCATACATCAGTTTTCAATCAGGATATTAAAGAACCAATCATTGTTGTGATTCAACTATGAATTGTTAAGTTGTCTCTGCAGAAGACAACTAAATATTCTATTGACCTTCTAATGCAATCAGTTCTCTAATCTATATTTTTTAAAAGTACACTTTCTACTACTTATTTGAGTTTTTACTTTTCATCTAAGTTGTCTTTGTAGAAAAGTCCAGTGTGTAGTGTTAGTACTACCACTGTTCTATCGCAGTCTACTGGATTTGGTGATTTTAAAAATGGTTTTGTGGTTGTAATTGGCCTATCTGACCTATTTCTATGTACCTGCTGAAAGTATGAATAGGTAACAATAATGGCATTAGACAACTGTAAACTAATTTTCAATAATAATATATAGATAACATAGACAGTTCCTTATTCTTTCTAGGTAAGGGTTGACATCCTCCAGAACTGGAGGGCCTCATTGGCATGCCAATGATTTTCAAAATTTTCATAAAAAAGATGCAATGTGTGGCCCTACAATAACTTTTGATGTAATGAGAGTACTGAGAGATGAAGAATTAGTTGCTGCCTAATGCTCAAAGCTAAATGAGAACCAAGAGAATGACCTCATAAGCAGGATGATTGAAAAAGATGAAGAAGGAAGTGAAGACTCTGATCAGGTATTAACACCATTAAATATCAAATTTAAAGCTTACCTTCTAATATTAGTGTATTCACTAATATGTTTGAATTTTCAGGATGGCTCCAAAGAAGATGAAGTGAATAGTCCAGTGGCTGCAAGTCAAAAGAATTCAAGGGATGTAGATTCTGAAGATTCAGACAATGGAAAAAGATGTCTACTTGACCAGTTCTCTTCATCTAGGCAACTAAAAAAGTAGTAAAAAATGGTTGGTGTGAAACAAGAGAAAATGTAATTCAAGTTTGTGTGTGATGGACAAATTCAGACACATCGTGTTATTGATTTTTTGCCTGTGATGGACCTATTAGAATAGGTAGCACTTATCCAGTGCTATCAATTGCAAGTACTATGCTTTTTCAGACTTTTTGTTTAGACTGGATATTAACTCTATGGTGATTAACTATTTTTCCTTTTTGCACTTGGGAATTGGCATATTAACTCTATGGTGATCACTAATGATGTACTTTTTTTTTTTCTTTCTGCTTTACTATCATTTTGCTGTTATGAGAGTTTTCTGTTTCCAAGTCGTATTTGTTACAGAGAAGATTGAAGAGTTATACATCATGCTGAAAAGTGAGAAGTGTCAAAGGCATTAAAACCTAAAGAAGGAATCAAGAGCTTACAAAGAAGTTGGAAGACTTATACATCATGCTAAAAAATAAGAACTTTGAACACGGTACAACCTAATGAAGTAATTAAGAGCTAAAGGCAAATGATATGGGAATTCAACACTTAGATCTATTTTGTCTATGTTTCACCTATTGTAAATGTTTTTTTATGAAAGGCATTTCACCTAATGTAAGTTTGTACATGGTTTTTTTTTTAATGAAAAAACAGTCTGCACTCCTTAAGACAAAAAAGCTCTTGATTATTGTGTAACCAAATTCACTAAAAAAATACAACTCATCACTAAAAAAAATACAACTGATCCATCACTAAAAAAAAATACAACTGATTCACTCAACCATCGAAGTTGAGAAAAAGTACAACTATCACTGGCCATACTTACAATTAAATTAAAGTTCATAAACGATCAAGCACTTTTAAAATCCTTATGAAAAAACATATTTGTGATAAATTCTAACAGTGTTGTAAATACCACTGTAAGTGAACAAAAAATACATCTTGATATTCATATAATACACTTCATTGCAAACTCAACTCTGGAATTAAAATATTGAATTGAAAATCAGATTTCTACACAACACTTTGTTTTGAATTGAGAAACAAGTTTATGAAATTACATAATCAAAAAAATACATTGGAACAATATTCTTGAATAAAAAAATAAAGTTAATACATCTCTTTATCTGCCAGACCTGAAGTATAAAAACATAAATGTATATTGTGACATCAGAATAGAGTTTGCATCAATTGCCAACCGGTAAAGACTTATGTAAATAAACCTTTAAACTATGACATCAGAATTAGAATTTCATCATATGCCAAACATTTTGTAGTGAATAGTACATGAACTGCATCTATCAATACTATCTTGAGGCGATTTTACAAATAGGGCATCAGGTCATCATATGCCAACAACTTGAAAACAAAATGTTAGTAAAATGGAAAAAAATAAATAAAACATTGCAAGTACTAAACCTGGCATACGAACAAAACAATAAAAGCAATTAACGTAATAATCATAAAAAAGAACACACATTCATCATTGAATATGAAATTTTTATGGGCATGATGAAAACTGAAAGTAATCATTACTCATTTTAGGCAGATTAACACAGATTTGAGCTATGAATGTACTTATCTTGTGGAAACTTTCTTTGACCCTTTTGAGAGAAGGGTTTAGAATTCTTAATCTCTTTGTATGTATCGGTCCAACTGTTTCCCGTGCTCTTCAACATATATCTTCTTTTATTGACTTTCGGATGTAGCAAGATTTGTAAACGAAAGAGTTAAGGTTTCAATGTAATGAACAAAATTATATGTTTGTTGGTTGAAAGTAAAGAAATTATACTTATGCAGAATCTACTCTTAAGCCAATATGTGACTAGAATATCTTTAGTTGTTACTTGTTCTATTTGTGCTCCTGTAGACTAGTTATATTTGGTTGTAACTTCCTACTATCTACACTCCTGCATGTACTATATATAGGTTGTGTTTTACATCAATAAACATGCAGTTAATTCCTTCTCGTGGTATCAAGAGCTATATTCTCCTAAGGAGTTTTTTTTTGTTTTTTCTTTTTCTCTTTCGCCATTCTTATATCCATGGCTACCACCACCACTAATATTGTTCACCTTAATGCTCCGTCTAATTTTCCTATCAAACTCACCCCCCTCAACTTTCCTGTCTGGAGACGCCAAGTTCAGTCCATCTTGATTGGCTTTAATCTCCACGGATACATCGATGGTTCTGTCAAAGAACCAGCAAAATTCAATGATACTGCACAAACAACTCCGAATCCAGCACATTTGAATTGGTATCGCCAAGATCAGATAATTACCAGTGGAGATGACCTTGAGGAGATTCTTGGGGCAGACATTCCCTTAGATGGTGCTCTGGTTCCTGTGAACAATAGTACTGGGCACGTTGAGGACACAGCTGCCCATGTTGAAGATTTTGAGAATATTTTGGTGGATAATGTTGAGTATCCTTGCCGCAAGATCTTGATGAGCTGAAGCCCTTTGATCAACCAATTCATGATTTTGATCCCAAGCCTGTTAAACGAGAGTACATGGGCGAGTCTAGCAATAGCATGACCTCTGAAAGTTTAAATTGCTTACTCAATGAACCACTCATGGACACTACCAACAGATTTCAATTCAATAATGATGGAACATTTCTTGAAACTAATGATCTTTCAAACCCTGTCGAAGGAAATACCTCAGGCTTCGACATGCTTGACTTCCTTAATTTCTATGATGCCAAGGATGATTTCCAAGACGTGCTGTTTGATTTTGATATATTTATTGGAAATGATGAGTTTCTTGGAGAACAATCACTTTCTGCTGATAAGGATGCATGCGACACAACTGAACAGGTTGTTTTGCCCAACGAAAAGTCCGTAGATACTGAACATAAGAATGATATTGCATCATCGTCAAAGACAGAGCCCACCAAATTGGGGTCAGACTTCCAACATCCATTTATCAAGCAAGCCAGCCAAATGTTGGGCAACATACCCGTTCCTCCAGCGTTCGCATCAGAGATCCCAAAAGATGCAGCTCTGCGCCTCAACGCAGCAACCCAAGCATCAAGCTCAGTGCACGTTACTGCTGGTCTGATTCAAATCAGCGACCTGACTCTCGGCAGCAAGCATGGCAATTACAACATCATCCTTTCTTTTGACTTCTCACAAGGTGCACAAAGTCCAGCCAGCTTGGAACCAGTTGGCCATGGGAAGATGCTATCTGGGGGTTGGTTCTACTTTCTTCTCTTCTGGGTTCTAATCCTCTCTATTTCCTTCAAGGTTGGAACCTTCATCTATGCAAGGTAATGTTATGCATCCATCATCAGGGAATTGGAACTTTTGCTGCAACATCCCCCAGGACTTGTGTTATTGCTCTGAATTTGGTATCAGAACCAGACCAAAGGTCATGGGTTAGAATCTCAGCACCACCTATAAGCGACTATGGTCCACGTGTCCACGTATTTCTTGGAACCCACCGCACACGTGAGGGGGCGTGTTGAGCATATAGCCATTAATGTGCAATCCAACTATCAGCTTAGGCTTTTAGTTGAGATGGAGCACATGGTACCAAGAGCCATATTCCCCTAAGGAGTTTTTTTTTTCTCTTCTCTTTCGCCATTCTTATATCCATAGTTACCACCACCACTGACATGCTGCACCTCAATGCTCCGTCTAGTTTTCCTATCAAACTCACCCCCCCTCAACTTTCCTGTCTGGAGACGCCAAGTTCAGTCCACCTTGATTGGCTTTAATATCCTCGGATACATCGATGGTTATGTCAAAGAACCAGCAAAATTCAATGATACTGCACAAATAACTCCGAATCCAGCACGTTTGACTTGGTATCGCCAAGATCAGATAATTACCAGTGCTTTACTTGGGAGCTGTACAGACACCATACAACCTCTTATAGCTTCCGCATCCACTACTTGTGATACCTGTCAACGGCTCGTTGCTAACTATGTTAGCGCCTCCCGAGGACGGATCCTTTCCCTCAAGGCCAAGCTTACTAGAAATCCGAAGGGTAATCATTCAGTCACCGCATTTTTGAATGACATGCGATCAATAGCTGAAAATCTCGCCCTGGCTCAATGCCCTATTTCTGATGAAGACATGGTTGTGTATATTTTAACACAACTAGGGGATGAGTACAGCTCCATCGTATCTGTCGTTCGTATTCGTGACAAACCCATTTCTTTGGGAGAATTAGCTGATGCGCTCACGGCTCATGAACGTCAGTTGGTTGAAGTCATGATGCTCGCCAATCTCTTTTGGCTACTGCTAATGCCTCCCAGCATGGTCTTTCGGCTTCTCGAAATAGTCAGCACTCCACTGCCGATCGGAGGTCCCGCAACAACACCAACAACACGTATGGCAATAATAGACCGAATTGGTCGCACAACACCAACACTCAACCAGGTGTTGTGTGTCAATTCTGTCACCTTGCTGGCCATGAGACTCGTGTTTGCCATAAGTTAGCCCGGTTTTTAAAGGCCCATAATGTGTTTCCCGTGCAGGCTCCTACATTTCCTCAGTCTCAGTCACCTGCAGCTAATTCTATTGTAGGATCAACTACACCGTGGATGTTTGACAGCGGGGTGTCTCACCACACCACACCGGATATGACTCCTCTGCACACTTTCACCGAGTATAATGGTCTTGATGGGATACGACTGGGCGACGGTAATTCTTTAAACATCTCTCACATTGGTCAGTCATCTATTCTCACTCCTTCTTCCGTGCTCACTCTCCAAAATGTCCTACGTGTTCCACAGTTGCATAATAATTTAATATCCATATCGCAATTGTGCAAAACTAATCAAGTGTCGGTGGAATTCTTTGATTCCCACTTTCTTGTGAAGAATCTTCGAATGGGGATGTCATTACTATGGGGGGCGAACATTAATGGTGTCTATTATGCACCTCTCCTGCGTCAACCTACATCTAATTCCATGCAGCTGTCTCGCATTTCCCAGTGGCACCATTGTCTAGGCCATCCGTCTAATAAGGTGTTGCATCGTGTGTTACAACACTGCAACGTTCCCATATCTATGTCAGCATTAAATAAGTTTTCCTGCCAATCATGCAATGTATACAAAAGTCATAAATTACCTTTTTTCCAAAGCACACTTGTTAGCACTAGGCCTCTACAACTGCTCTACACTGATGTATGGCGTCCGACGGAAAAATCTATCGATGACTTTGCTTATTATGTTATACTAGTAGTTGCACCCGTGCGTTGCACGGCCATGTTATTATGGTGAAATATATTAAAAATTGTTTTATTCATGATATATGGTCAATAAGTTTATAGACGTCACAAATACACAAAATATAATATTTTATTGTTAAATAAATAAAACAATTACAAATTATTAAAGATTTCTTTATAAAATACATTTTCAGTCTTATTTAGAAGACCTCTAGACTCCCCACAAATTAAGACCTTAAGACCATCCGGATTACTGACCCGAGAAACTGCCGCATATAATTGGCCATGATTAAAAACAGGTTTTTTCAGTAACAAACCAACATGTGAAAGCGTCTGACCTTGACTTTTGTTGATTGTCATTGCATATGATAACATAAGTGGGAACTGCTTTCTTTGAAACTTGAATGGAAGTCTTGGGTCTGAAGGAGTCAAAGATAGCCTTGGTATCAAAACCTTTGTACCTGCGTTATTGCCAAATATGATTTTTCCCTCAATAACATGATTTCCCAATTGTGTTACTATTAACCTTGTACCATTGCACAACCCCATTGAGTGATCTATATTCCTCAACAGCATAACTGGAGTTCCAACTTTCAGCGTTAAAGAGTGGTTTGGTACACCTGAGCACCTCAAGCTATTTAAAAATTCTGTTGTGTGTACCTGAGATTGCATATCAAAGTTTGTCTTAGCCTTGCAAACAGAATCACAACTCAAGTATGTCCTTGATACAGCTTGATTAATACCATTCATGTATTCATTGACCTCGTCAACAACATCTAATGTTGGAGCTAATATAGCTCTATTCTCTAGTTGTCTTTCATCCATGTTCCCAGAACGGTATTCAGGGAATGTGCTTTCAACAATTTGTCTAATAGGATCAACCTCGTTTTCTAATACAATTGAAGATGGTATCATTATATTGCAATCAACACCATTGTCTTCACCACCAAGATTACTGTTACCTAAATCCGTAATCCACTTGGCAAAACTATCTAACTTCTCAACATCGTCTTCATTTGTAACACCTCGCAATCTTAAATTCTTCGTTAGACGAAGAACTTCACAATTATTCCACAGGTAAGATGAATTAATACTGGCTTGTACTATATCTTGTCTAGTACCTTTCGGAATAACGGGTAGAATTTGTCTAAAGTCTCCACCCAACACCACTATTTTCCCTCCAAATGTCATTGTTGAGCTCCTTGAATTCTTGAAATGCATTAAATCTCTCATTGTTCGGTCCAATGCTTCAAAACAATGTTTGTGCATCATCGGAGCTTCATCCCAAATTATTAATTTGGATTTGATTATCAATTCAGCAAGTGGACTGCCTTGCTTGATGTTGCAAGTGGAATCTTCATTAACACCAATTGGTATAGCAAACCTGGAGTGTGCAGTCCTACCTCCAGGTAGCAGCAACGAAGCTATACCGCTTGATGCTACATTTAGAAAAACTTTGCCTTTGGACCGTAAAGCTGCTGAAATCTTTCACAAAAATGTTTTTCCTGTTCCACCATAACCATAAATGAAATACATTCCACCTTTCTCAGTTTCAACATCTGCCATCACCTTATTGTATATGAGTAACTGTTCATCAGTTAGTTTCGGATGCAACGAATTATGTTGATGCATTAGAGCTTCCCTATCATATGACATCTCCTCTAACAACAACCTGTTACCAGAAAACCAATCATTGTTTTCATCTGGCATTGGCATAGGTGGATAATCTGATAGAGATTTGTTCCAAGCATTCAACAACTTCTCCATTTCAAGCAACGCAAAATTCTTTTTTTGAGATTCATTTAGACTTAAATCTACAAAATTAGAAAAAAAATGTAAGATGTAATGCTTTTAAAAACGCATATGAATAATAATATAACAATAAAGGTTACCTGGGACTGAGAGGTTCCTTCTAGAAATATATTGAGCATCATCTGATAAGTATTGCCAAACCATCTCCCAAACATTTTCTGGCTTGGACATTGAATTGGATGTTAAAAGTGTAACAAACAACTTCCGTAGAGAATGGGCTAAAGACCAAGTTGCTGCCTCAGTGATTGCATCAACATACTCTTTATCATCTTCGATTAATCCGCGGGCATAACATGCATCTCTAAATGAATTGTATTGAACACCATCGACTTTTTTAATCTCATCAAATGAAGTCGGTCCACGAACTATATTAAGTAAACATCTAAGATAAAAGATCTCACCAGTATTTGGTGGCACATAAAAGATTCGACCAATTGCCCAATTTCTTTGCCAAGGTTGCCATTCTCTTTTATTATTCTTCCAAACAAATTTGGTTGGCATCTGTGAATAAGTCAACTGCCTCCCTGCTGCGTACTTTTTATTAGCCTCAAACCAGGCAGTAAACATGCTTTGAGCTACTGTCGGTCGATTTACAACATCATTGACCAAATCGTCGTCATGAAATATTATTGATTGCTCATTGGGAAGATGGAAACTCAATCGCTCAACAGATGGATTCCTAAATTGTATGTCAAACGCAAAAATCCTCCACGCGGCCTCAGGGGGTGAAATATATCTACAGTCATAGTACATCTTGATTTCATCTACAATCTTTCCAGTAGATTCTTCCACCCCATTGTTGTAGAATTCAGCTGTGACCCTATCATTACCCTTGTTGACGTATTTGAATAAGTACTTTATTGATCTAGATTGGTTGCACCACTCCACATTAATATGAGCCTTGTACTTCATAAGTAAATGTCTATTGTGTGGAATAACATATCTACTATCAAGGTCAATCACATTCTTCCGTATTGTACGACCATTATCTCGACGCCAATAGATTGGATATCCATCGAAATCCACTGTTGAGTTTTCAACAAATTTTTTGGGGAAGAATTTAGAGCACATACCATTTATCATGCAAGGTGAATTCTTCCTTGCTGCACCACATGGACCGTGAATCATAAATTCTTCTACAACTTTATAATACTCAGGGTCGCACAATTGACTTGGAATCTCAGCAGATATGATCATGTCAATATCTTTAGGATTAGGGTAAGAGTTACTCTTGCTCAAGAATATCAAAATGTGAGCATGTGGCAATCCCCTTTTTTGAAATTCAATGGTGTAAATTACTGTAAATACAAACATTGTGAAATTAGACCCCAAAAAAAATTGTCAATTATTTTAAAGATACGTAACAATCAAATATATTCAAATATATTTATAAAATCACATAAATTACCTGCATCTACCACTCCAAAAATGTTCTCTTTCTGAATGTTTTTTATGAGTGCATTTAATTTCATTTTAAACACACGGCATACTATATCTGGCCTATCTTCAACTTTGAGTTTCCTTTGGTTGTAAAAATATTTCAATCTCAGGCCACCTAGGATTACATGTGAATGTAATAAATAGACTTGGATACCCGATCCATCTACAAATCGCCATTGCATCTTGGTAATTTTGCACCATATATCTTGCACCTCCGGTAAAACTCGATGGCAAAATGATGCGCTTTCCTTGGGAAGTAGGATCTACTTCACCACGTGTTAATGCATCTGTCAAAAATTTGTATCATTCACACTGAAGTGACTTTTGGTGAGACCTAATATAAACCAAGCGTCCTGATTCTATCATGGTATAAGCATCAACCAAATATTGTTGAAACAACCGTCTAGCATAAAGCAATGTTGACATTTCATTGAACCTATCTTGCAAACGGAATGAAAATACTCTCTTGGACTAAGTTTACTCCTTGCATTTGACCTCTGGCCTTCGACAGTAGTAAACTGTATATCGTCTCTGTATCCGTCTTCACCATAAGGAAAGAGTAATGGGTACTGCAGTGGGAGATATGCTGGATTTAATTAAGTTATTCTTTGAAAATGACCAGCTTTAGACTCCACCAATATATCTCTTTCTCCCATGTTTGGATCTAAATCACCAACAATCAATGCGGCCACTTCCCCAACCTGTGGCAAGTTATATGTCCTTGCATCCTTGTTCCTCTTACCGATGAGTTTGATTTTAATATCAGTTCTATGATTACTTTCCATCTCTGTTTTGGCCATCCTAAAACTCTTGACCAAAACATTATTTTCATCCAGTGCATCATTGATGCCTTTAACAATTTCACGATGCATTGTATTGGTTGACTCATCTTCCCTGTTTGAAATAGACAAACCCATACAATTTCATAATCTATTTGATATTAAAAATGATGTTCATTTATTTAAATTAAAGAAACGTACATAACTTACCCAAGTGCAGTTAGCTATAGACGATTTTTGATCTCATTTTGAGTATCATAAATATACAATTGAGCAAACTTTGGTCTTTCACCAGATTGTGGTAGCAAACTACCCATTAAGTGAAAATTTTGACCATGTAACCTAAAAGTCAGTGGTGCACTACCATTGTTGACAGTTCTGTCAATTTTTCCACCCATGGAAGTAAAGCAAAACATATTGTTAAAGGACCGAATGTTCTTCAAGAAATGGGTACGCTTTTGATCCTGGTTAAAGAACAACTGCCTGATTGCCATAGGTGGAATATTAGGATGCGACAACTTTATCTTTTCATGACTGCAACATAGTGAATATCTCGGATTTCGAACACCGCTAGATTTATTAACTCGCTCCTCTAACCAAAACATAGCTCCACAGTGATGGCACGAGTACGTTTGATCACCAAGATCACTGTAATAATCGACAAAAAAAAAAAAACAAATGTTATTACTAAGCTCAAATAATAAAGGTTATTAATCGTACCTATACTCACCATTACCATTTGTAGAGTTTGATGGTGTATCATGGACCACACTATTAAAAGCTGACATCAAACCACGTTACATTGACGCCTTTGGTGATGAGGTATTGTAATCCACAACGCACGATCTTGTTGTTTGAACTATAGGATGAAAACAAACGTTATTATTCATAAAGCACTTTATATAAATTCATATTTTTAAAAAGAATTAACTTCATCTAGAAACTTTACCATTTGTTAGATTTGGCAAAGGCTCTCGACTTTCATTGGACACCATAGGGGTAGTTTCGAGCACGTTAGATTGCGATGTCATTGATTGAGTAATATTTTGTAAAACTATTAGGAAAAAAATTTGTTTTAATACACAAACTAAAATTCCAAATATAGTATAGTAAATATATATATAGATATATAATTTAATGTAGAAAATTGTTTAGAAAGACCTCCACTTTGTCCACTGGCAAAACGCTTTTTATTTTGAGATGTTGAATTAACACATGTAAGCTGAGATCTATCACTTGCCGATTGTATTGCAATTGAACACTCTAAACAAAAAAATTACAAAAAGCGCACATTAATATATATAATATAAATAATTAAAATAAAATGTACTATACCATAGTACCGATATTGCATTTAAAATGAAAGGACTAACCATCCATCACAGTTACTTTCGGTGTGTTGAATGTTGCATTTTCTGTACAATAAGACAATAAAATAAAGAATTACTAATAAAGCAATCAAGACAATTCAATTATTACATGAAATAAACTAATTTACCCAAAAAATAAAAGGGCTATATATGTAACATCCCTAATTCAAATACAATAAACACCACACGTAAGGTTTTCATGACAAAGCTAAATATCGTCCTATATAAATAAGCATATGTATAATATAAGCATATTAACCATATTTAACAATAAATATATTAACAAAATTGAAAAAACAAACAAATTTGTTTTAATACAGCAACTAAAATTCCAAATATAGTAAATATGTATAGATATATAACGTCTCATACCATTGTATACGTTGAAAGATTGTTTAGAAAGACCTCCACACTGTGGCCCAGTAAAACGCCTCTTATTTTGAGATGTTGCATTAACACATGTAAGCTGAGATCTACCACTTGACAATTCTACTGCAATTGAACACTCTAAACAAAAAAATTACAAAATGCTAACATTAATATATATAATATAAATACTTTAAATTAAATGTACTATACCATAGTACCGACATTGCAATTAGAAAGAAAGGAATTACTAGCAATCGCAGTTAATTTCGGCGTGTTGAATGTTCCATTTTCCGTACAATCATTTTCTGTCATAAAAACAATAAAGATATTATAACCAATAAAATAAATAAGTACTAATATAATTATTGATGTAGATATAGTTAATCCAATGATTACATTAAATAAACTATTTTACTGAACAAAAAATAAAATATATATGTTGCACCATTATTTAAATACAATAATTTAAATACAATAAACACCATACATAAGATTGATTTAACAAAAATGAATATCGTACTATATAAAGAAGCATATGTATAAAATAAGCATATTAACCTAAGCATTATATATATATATCTATATATATATATATATATATATATATACATATATATATATATACATATATATATATATACATATATATATATATACATATATATATATATATATATATATATATATATATATATATATATATATATATATATATACGGAAAAAAAATAAAGGATCGAAGTGTCCAGAAGTGAGACTTCTGGACACAATCTGATCATCACTCCCACTGTCTACGCTACCTCTTCTCTCTACGATGCCATCACTCTGTCTATCTCTCGCTATCTCTCTCTATCTATCTCTGTAATCCAGACGTTTTAGGCGTTAATGGCGTCTGAATTTGGCCTCGCCCTTATCTACGAAACTCATTCTTGATAGATCGCAGTCTATACTGTGATTGGCTTCGAGAGAGAGATGGAAGAGGGCGAATTTAGGGAAACCCTAGTTTAGTTTGACGTTTTAAATCCTTTTTTTTTAAGCCAGCTCTACTGAGATGCTTGGTTGTTTTTACGGATGCAACCTAGATGAACGTAGATCTGTATTATATAGCTATGGATGTACGCAACAATGCTATTTTACAATCGCGTTAACCTTCTAGGTGGTTTCTTTTCATGGATCTAAACAATCGGATGAAGGTAAGTATTTTTCGTACTCAATCTTAGTTAATCTTTACTATTTTTGCCCAAAAAATCTAGATGTAAATTGGTTTTCGATTCGAATTATGTATGCTAAACTGTATGTTTGTATAGTTAGGGTTTTAACCTAAGTAATTTAGCAACTTAGTGTTATCTGTTGAACTTGATTCTTATTAATTTGCAGTTTCTAATGTTTAGCTTTCCTATAATTACCAAGAAATATGAATTTTTAAATTACCCCTACTATATTGTTATCCTTGCTCGACAGATTTGAATTCGGCTCTTTAAATTCAAACAGATTTGAGATATGGTTATACAGTTTGTAATTGCAAGATAAAAAAATTAAAGTTCAATATCAATAGGAGAATGAAATCTTTTCATGAGACAGAAACTGTGACAGTAATAGATGTTTTGATCAATGTTTAAAGTACATTTATTTGAGATTGTCTCCTTCCTTTTGGAGCCGATGACAGTTGATTTAGTTAACTTCCTCATTGATCTGAACTGCTTAATGTTTGGAAAGTGTTTTTCTGTAAGTAGTGGGTTTAGTTGAAAATGAATTGTGTACTCTGCATTTAAATGTGAATATCTGAGTGTATCTGAGTGTAAAACATAAAAGCAAAATGAAATTCCCTAGAATTTTGCTGGAATTTATTAATGATTACTTCTATTGGGAAGCAGAAAAGATACAGATTGAAAAGATAGTATTTATTCCCAATCTTAATCCTGCCATATGTTGCTATCAAAACTAAGATGTTATTTTCTAGCTTTAGAACAGAATTGATGAAATTTAGTTTTGATGTCAATAATCACCTAATTAGTAGATGTGTATTTTGTTTTACAATTTTAGATCCAATCCTCTTTTTGAATCTCAGTTTATTTGATTTATTATTTTCTATTTTTGAATAGTGTTCAATTCTGTTTGAATTAATTTACTCAGATTCTAACATTTGTTTTCAAGGAAATGGCACATGATGATATTAATTTCTGATGCCATTAGATTTCAGAGTTTCCGTCTACATTAAGTTTACTATTCAATCTTTTGGAGAGGAAAAAAGTTAACTACTGGAGTTTAACTTTAGTGATCTCTTGAATTTCACTACTGCCAAATACCACAAATGAAGGCGTTATGGTGTACTCACTTACCTGGCTAACCGAGCGGTCAAGATTTCACAATCTTGACACCAAATTCCATTTGTAGTTTTCTATTTATGTAACCTCTGTAATTTCTAAACTATCTGTCGCTTTGCATACTATTAGATTTGCAACATCTGGAATATGAGAATAGTTCATTTTTAGTCCCTAAATCACGGGTGGAAAACAATTACTATGTATCTCGTAGTTTCGTTAGCATCTTTATGGTGGTATACTTCTGATAACTATAACTCTGATTTCAATTTTAATTGTATTTATTTATTGAAGTTTTTATTCAAGTATTTGATTGCGAATTAGGATTTCCATATATGAGAAGAGAAAACTTTATATTGTTATCTGTTTAAGACACTACAGAACTATTTAAGTGAGCTGACATGTTTTGTATTCTGTCTCAATGGTTTGGTTTGAATATATACTGTATGTTGGCAGACTTTGTATAGACTTTATTATTTAGTACTTGATTTTTTTGACTGGCTAAAATGTTTTGATAAATATAACTTTGATTTGAAATTTAGTTGTAGTCCTTATTTGAAGTTTTTATTTCAATTATTGATTGAGAAGTAGGAAAAATAATTATGTATCCAAAGTACTTCATGTTGTTATCTGATTAAGACATTACATTTCAATTTTAGATTCTGAAAGTTTTGTGGTAATGACATACTTGGTTTGGTTAGAATTTGTATGTTGGCTGACTTTGTATAGGTTTTATTATAAAGTACTTGACTATTTTGATTGGCTGTAATTTTTGGATAAATATAACTTGGATTTGAATTTTAGTTGTAGTCCATTATTGAAAATTTTATTTAAATTATTGATTGAGAAGAAGGATTCTGTTTTTATGAGAATTAAACTACTTAATGTTGTGATCTGATTAAGCCATGACATTTAAATTTGATATTCTGACTGTTTTGTATGATATTCTTGGTTTGGTTAAACTTAAAATGTTGGTTGACTTTGTATATAATCTATTATAAAGTAGTTGACTATTTTAGAATGTCATGAAAAGATTTTGAAGCTAAGTTCAGATGTTGACAAACCTGACCTGATGGAAATACTTAGAACACAGCTCAACAAGTGATATTGAAGTAAAATATGTGACTAAGGTACCAAATGGTAATCATAGTTTTATTCTTCAATTAAAAGACAAACACAATTGACACAGTACACTTTTGTAAGATGTAATGTTGGATTAAAATATATAATGGAATTGATATATGTACAAATTCCTTTATTTCAGGTGGAATGAAAATTCAAGACCACAACATTAGAGGTACTATCCCTGACAGGTAAGTACTTTATTTAAATCCACTGCTATTAAGTTTCTTGTGCCTGCTACCTGATCTCTGCCTGTTCATACTTGCAATGAGTTAGGAAATAGACAAACCATATTATAAAACATATAAAAACCA